CAAGTGAAGGTAAGCAGGTAGGTAAGTCGGTGGGCCCTAAGAACAGTCCTAGCGAAGGACCTGCTCTGAAACCATGTCAGAAATAACTGAGCAGGAATGAATGAACTAGCACATAGTTTGGTACAAGTAGGAAACCCTAACTTTCAGTACCCCCTAAGGTGTAACCCACTACAGCCTACATAATATAAGCATGCAATGTTTGACATACCGGGCGTCTCTACAAGATGAAGTTTGAGATCAAACGCGGTTCTAGCAACACGAAGAACGACGTTGTCTCGCTTCCCGCTGTTTCAACCGATCAAGTCAACAACAAAGGGAGTATCTCCCAAGCCGAGGTATGGCATGCACGCTTGGGGCACTTGGGGATGCAAGCATTCAAAGAGTTAGTAAGTCACAAGAGCGTGGAAGTACTTACTTTGAGTGAAAGCGCAGTCAAGTCTCTTTCTACCGTTCCATGTCCATCTTGTGTTGAAGGTAAGCTAGCTAGAAAGCCATTTTTCCCTTCTAAGTCTCAGTCAAGGGACCTCCTAGAGTTGGTCCACACTGATGTGTTCGGCCCCATGCGAGACCCTACTCGAAACGGTAAGAGATATTTGGTGTCTTTCATTGATGACAAGAGTCGTTTCTCATGGTCCTTTTTCATCAACACCAAGGATGAAGTTCATAAGTGCTTCAAGCAATGGCTAGCACTTGTTGAGAGAGAGTCAGGGAAGAAGTTACTCACCTTGAGGTCGGACCGAGGAGGTGAGTACATGGGAAAAGCGTTCCAGGGGGAGTTGTTGTCATTGGGCATCAAGCAACAATTCACTTGTCCCTATAGTCCTCAGCAAAACGGAGTGGCAGAGAGGTTTCATCGCACTATTCAAGCTATAGCTACCACTTTTCTTCAGTTTAAGGGCCTTGACAAGCTCTGGTGGGGTGAGGCAATCACTATGGCAATCTATGTTCGCAACAGAAGGCCAACAAGGCCTCTACCGGATGGTGTAACGCCATATGAGGCTTGGTTTGGAGTTAAACCAGATCTGTCTATGCTCCGTGTTTTTGGTTCCATGGCCCAATACCGTGTCCCAGATGCAAAATGACTCAAGCTGGACAGCAAAGCTCATTGGGGCCTCTTCATCGGCATGAGCAATGAGAGCAAGGGATGGGTCCTTTGGGATCCCGTCACCAAGCGAGAAGTGGTTTCAAGGGATGTTGTCTTCTATGAAGACATGTCCCTTGCAGATTGGCACAAGTATTCCTCTTCCTCCTCTCTACCACCCTCTATCCAACAGGAACCAGCAAGAGCACCTGAGGAAACAACACAAGAGGAGGAAGATGACAACGTTTCTGACCATAGCGGACCGATCATCGATCTCCCTCAAGCCGTCGGCAACGAGACCAGCCGTGCCACACCAGCGCCACCAGCAGCTACACAACCAAGTGGAGATGAAGTTCAGCTATCAAATGAAGACCATCCACCTCAGGAAGTCACCGTTCCATCACCGCCAAAGGAGCAGCAGCCAACATTCACAAACCAGCCAGCTACTTCAACACCAACCTCACAAGTTCAACGCCAACCGGATCAGCCCACCACTACGCCACCAAACCCATCATCAGCCATCACTCCAGAGGCAATTACAGAAGCTCATCGTCATCCCATGCAGCAGCAACCAACAGCTACAAGTTCCCAAGTACCTACATCAACACCATCTACGACTCTTCCTAGCAACAAGTCAACCGTCACCGCAACACCTCGTTCTCATACCACACGTTCATCACTTCAACTTCCAACGTCAAGCCAGCTCATAGCACGAGGATCACTTCAGCGAGTCTCCACCAACACCAGCTCCAACAGCCCACTTCTTCACCCAAGACCTTTCTCAACTTCACCCCCACGTCCCGGATTTGGTCGTCATCAGTTACCGCCATCTTCAACACCGAGCAACAACACCAACCAGCCCCAACCATCACCATCTCTCGACAACGCAGCGTCATCATCAATTCCCAAGCTTCTAGTCTCACGATCCCCACCACGAGCATCTTCACAACCAACTATGCCGACGAACGTTTCAGCTTCACCGCCACGAGCCACCACTCCTATTCCTCAAGTCAACACCGATCATCGAGAGAGTTCCAAGCCGGGAGAAGATCATGCAGCCGTGCCGCCGTCGCAGCCGATGTCGAAGCCGTTGTCTCAGCCGCAAATGACAGTGTCAATGCATCCAAACACTGTGAGACCGAACCCTACCACTGATGTGTCTCAGCCAAGTGAGGAGTTGGGTAAAGGTAAACGAGTCCGCAAGGTGAAAAAGCCCTTCACATTCATGGTTGACATGTCATCAAGGTGCACATGTGAGGAGAGCGAGAATTGCATTCACAAGAAGGTAGAGGCAATATGCATGGCAGCATCACACCTTCCACGAGAGCCCTTGAGTCGTCGTGAGGCAATGGCAAGTCCTGAGAGAGAGCATTGGTTGAAAGCCGAGGAAGAAGAGATTGAGAGTCTCATGAAGCGAGGTACATGGCGTCTTGTTGAGCCACCTCCAGGGAAGAAGGTAATTGGTGTCAAATGGGTGTACAAGATCAAGGTAAACGGTGATGGTAGCCTCGATAGGTACAAGGCAAGGTTAGTGGCAAAAGGTTATTCCCAAATCCCAGGTCTTGACTTCACCGAAACCTTTACCGCGGTAGCGAAGTACACCACGGTACGAGTCCTCCTCGCCATAGCCGCATACCTTGGTCTTCATATCCACCAAATGGATGTCAAGAACGCGTTTCTCTATGGTGTCTTGGAAGAAGAGGTATACATGGCACAACCCGAAGGTTATGATGATGGTACGGGTCGAGTTTGTCGCTTGGTAAAGTCCCTTTATGGTCTCAAACAGTCCCCACGGGTATGGTATCATGCTCTTGAGAAGGTACTCTTCAAGCACGGTTTCACAAGGTCCATGAGAGACAACGCTTTGTACTTCATGCACACGAGTGAGGGGGAGTACATTTGGCTCTTGGTATATGTCGATGACCTCCTCCTAGTCTCAGGTTCCCTTGATCTCCTCAACAAGGTGAAAGGTATCCTCATGAGTGCATTCACGATGACCGATCTTGGTGAGCCGAGTCATTACCTTGGTATGAATATTGTGAGAGATCATAAGTCAAGGTCCATCTTCCTATTCCAGCAAAGGTACATCCAAAAGGTTCTTGAGAGGTTTGGTCTTGATGATAGCAAGCCATCACCTACCCCGCTTCCTTCCAACTTTGTCCCTTTGTCTTCACATCAGCCCTATGAGGAGAGAGAGTCAAGCCTTGACGTCACGGGTATTGAGGAGTTGTGTCTTGAGGAGAGTGAGCATCATGGTGAGACGTCACCCAAGGTATCCCCACAAGACCTAGCTCTCTACCAAAGTCAGGTTGGGTGTCTCATGTATGCAGCCCTATGCACAAGGCCCGACCTAGCATTCACGGTATCCAAGCTAGCTCAACACATGAGTGCCCCATCACCTATCCATATGCATGCAGCCAAGCGAGCTCTACGGTATCTCAAAGGTACTTCTAATCATGGTCTTCTCTTCCAAGCCAGCCCACATGCAAGCTCCCTCCAAGGCTTTACCGATGCAGATTGGGCGGGAGAATTGAGCACACGCAAGTCCACCGGCGGCTACATCTTCCTCATGTGCGGTGCCGCTGTTTCTTGGCAATCACGCAAGCAAAGTTGTGTGGCGCTTTCTACAACCGAAGCTGAGTACATGGCAATGACCGAAGGAGCAAGGGAGGCAATCTGGTTACGTGGACTCTTGGAGGACTTGAGGCAGCCGCAAACTCAACCGACTCCGCTCTACGTGGACAACACTTCAGCCATTGCTCTTTCCAAGAACCCGGTTCATCATGGGCGTACAAAACACATCGAGGTGCAGTACCATTTCATCTTTTCGTGAGCAACTAGAGAAGGGAGTTCTCGCCGTCAACTTTTGCCGTTCATTCGATCAAGCAGCCGATTTCATGACCAAGGTTCTTCCATATGATGCTTTCAACATGTGCAAGGCAAGAGCAGGTCTCATGACACTTCATGAAGCAGTGCAGCAGTTTGAGGAGAATGAGGAGTATGAGGAGAAGCAACATGGGCAGCAGCATGGAGTGTATGCTAAGGAGATGTGAGAGGAGCACGGGTGTTTGTGTGCTTCGGGTCTGGTGCGAGGGGGAGTGTTGGAGAAGCGAGTTTCTGCCGCCCCAGCCCTTCGCACACAAGCAGCAGCAAGGGGGAATGTCGACGATGGATCAGAGGCTTCGCGAAATGCTTCGGAAGTTCCACCACCAATCAGATTTCAGCCGAAGACTCGATACAGTTCAGAGCTGTCTTCAAACCGAAATGTTGGCAGTTTCTACAGGTTTCTACACATCAGAATCAGCTATAACAGAAAAATCCAGAGACTTCTCATTCATGCACCTCATGTGGCTCTCAAAGTCACTCAAGGTCCATGCAGCTGAATTGTGCCCAAGTTCCCAAGGAAGTTGCCTTGTCTAGCAGCCTGGTTTGAGCTATCAATCTTCATGTTTGTAATGCATATAGAGTTGTGCTTTAGTGGGCTTGTACAACCTTGATCATAGTGAAGTTTTACCTCATCCAGTCAGTCCAGCAGCCCTGCTAAGACTTTCCAGCCAAGTTTCCAACCTTTCCAGCAGTCACAGCTACTCTGTTTTACAAGTGAATGTTGATGCAGATGATTCTGCCCTGCGAGTCCTTGATGTTGGATGAAGGGCTGTCTGACACAAAGGCGCTGTTCTGTAGGCGTTAAATTTCCAAAAACTGGGTCCGCGGAATTTTCGTTGATAAGAAGTCTTCTGCCTATCAAGGTTTGGTGATAAGGGAGATCCTCCCAAACCTGTTCGCGCCAAATTTAACGCTTCCGCCTGCAGAACGCCACTTTTGGGGTGCAGAAATTTAACCGTCTGCAGGTTCGAAGTTGTTGCTTCGCCGGGCAAATGGTCGCACAACTTGTGCGGTGCTGATTCTACCTCGGGAGCTAGCACCAGCCTCCGCACAAGTTATGCCAGGCAGCAATGTCCGTGAAACGCAACTGGCATGAATGCGCTTCGAAGTTACACGGAAGGCAACCGCGGTCAAATTGGTGCGACGCGAATGACGCCTGCAGAACAACGCCAAAGGGATTTACAGCGGCAAAATGATGTTGAAATTGGCGCGAACCCGCTACAAGTCCACTCGAAAATCGCCGACCGTGATTGTTTCCGACGATGCTGTTCAACACTTCCATACTTACCAACATGTTTAGTCATTTAGAGACAAATGAGCCTGGAATACGAACGCACTCATAGTAATAGAAGTATTACGTTGATGAAAGCACAGAATTAACCCGCGCTTTCAGGCAACTGTCCTTTATAATAGTCCCCTGTGCAATTGCGATACAGGGGACTCTAGCAACTTTCTTAAAGCATGCCAACAGGTGACCCAGCTCCATCCACACTGACATTCCGTTTCTCTCCACCCGCCCCCAAGTCCTTATTCCTCCCCCCCACCAGCCTTCCTGCCAGCTTCTGTACAATTCCCGTTTTACTCACCACCTTCACAAGGAAAAACGCCAGCCTAAACGGCGCACCAACAAGCGGCGAATCAATAAGCGACACTGTATTCTCCACCCTCCCTGCTCTCACAGCCACAACCCCACCAGCACCAACCGAACCCACACCACCAGTCCCACCAGCAGCAGCCACAGCAGAACCAGCTTCAACTACCATCCCTTGCACCCCCACATCTCCTACAAGCCCATTTCCTACAGTCACAGCGACTGCTCCTGCCCCTTCATCCACCCCTCTTCCTCCTCCCCCACCTTCTGCTCCTTCCAATTCCCTCTCACTGTAAGTCACTGGCCAGATGGCAGGGTATCGGCTGGAGGATTCAGCCAGGGTAGGGGTAGGTTGCTGTGCGCACAGAGCTGCGCAAGGGGGAGGAGCACTGCGCACTACAGGCAGGAGAGAGGAGGCGTCTGCAACAAGGGAGGAGGAGGACGCGTGTGCGGATTGCAGGAAAGCAGAGGGCGTGTCTGCTGTGAGAAAACTGCTATGATTGCCCCTGGAATCCTCCCCAGCTGCTACAGATGCCATGTTGGCAGCACTGTGGAAACCACCATCCGTTGCAGCAGGAAACGGCGCAGAAGGGTGCAGAGCGGTTGGGCGAGGGGATGGAGACCTGGACGACTCGTCCTGAATATTCTGGCTGGCATAAGCAGCTGGGACCCTCCCCTCATTCCCTGCCAATGCTGCCTGATCCACTGAAACCAAACCTGCCACGTCAGCATTAAGAGTGTACTCAGATGCTGACGTGGCATGCACTGGCACTGCCGCTGTCGTGGGTGCTGCTAACCTTCCAGTGAAAGGAAGCTCGAGAGAAGAAGCAGCGGGAGTAGAGAGAGAGGAGGTGGGGAAGGACAGCTGGGAGTGTGCAGAGGAGGAGGAGGGGGAATTATCCTCCACTACTGCTGCTGCTGCTCTTGTCCTTTCTGCTGCTGACGTGGCATGAGCTGGCGGAGGCTGAGTCAGCACGGGAGTCAGGCCAGCGTGGATGCTCTGGGAGCTTGCCGGTGCTCCAGAAGGGTTGCTTGGGACGACGGTGGTCCGCATGGTGGTAACCAGATTCGCTATCAGCAGCTTCTGCTCGTTCATCTGCACACGCACCAGAGGAGTTAAGCAGTTTGGTATATAGAAATTTGGATCAACGAACGGCGAAAGGGTCACTCACTAGGCCTCCGAGCCAGCTTTAAGTTGCTCGTCAAATCCCTTCGAATGGGGTAGAGATACACAAATGATTGCGTAAAAGGGGCACTTCTAGGGGCCAATACACGAGCTATAACCCACCTGTTGCACCAGGCGCGCGTTCTCCTCCACAAGCTTCTCCACTGTGGCCGCGGCAGCTGCCCTCTCCACCCTGGCGTCCTCTGCTGTCTCCAACACCCTCTCCATGACACTGGGATCCCCACTGAACCACCGGTTCCACCCCTGCATGCAACACAAGGCGGACGAGCTTATGATGTGGGTGAATGCATACAGAAGCATCAGCAGCTGCAGCCGCCCTCTCCACTCTCGCGTCCTCTGCCGTTTCTAACACCCTCTCCATGACACTGGGATCCCCACTGAACCACCGGTTCCACCCCTGCAGTACAGCACAGGCAGGTATCAGATGAGTGTAAAGGGGATTCAATAGCAGTCGCAGCAGTAGCAGCAGCCGCCCTCTCCACTCTCGCGTCCTCTGCCGTTTCTAACACCTTCTCCATGACACTGGGATCCCCACTGAACTACCGGTTCCACCCCTGCAGTACAGCACAGGCAGGTATCAGATGAGTGTAAAGGGGATTCAATAGCAGTCGCAGCAGTAGCAGCAGCCGCCCTCTCCACTCTCGCGTCCTCTGCCGTTTCTAACACCCTCTCCATGACACTGGGATCCCCACTGAACCACCGGTTCCACCCCTGCAGTACAGCACAGGCAGGTATCAGATGAGTGTAAAGGGGATTCAATAGCAGTCGCAGCAGTAGCAGCAGCCGCCCTCTCCACTCTCGCATCCTCTGCTGTTTCTAACACCCTCTCCATGACACTGGGATCCCCGCTGAACCACCGGTTCCATCCCTGTTGGGGTGGGAGGAGACAAGACAACGACAGCTAGAGTTTGCTTTGCTGCCCTCTCCACTCTGGCGTGCTCTGCTGCCTCCAGTACTCGCTCCATGCCGCTGAAATCACCACTGAGCCATCGATTATCCTTAGCACCCCACCGCACCGCACAGTACCTTGTGCAGCATGCTCACAGCAGTAGCCTCTGCCCTCGTTCGCTTCCTAATGGCAGCCTCCCTCTCCAGCTGCTGCATCGCCGTGTAAACCAGACACCTCGAGTTTCGTTTTAAACCGCATGACACAGCATCCTCACAGCACCTCACAGCACCCCGCAGTACCACCAGCACCGCATAGTACCTTCTGCTGTACTCCCATGGTGGCCTCTGCCCGCGTCCAGCTCCTAATGGCCGCCTCCCTCTCCAGCTGCTGCATTGCTGTATAAACCAAACAACTCAAGTTATCCCACAGCATTCCACAGCACTCCACAGCACCCCATAGTACCGCACACCTTCTGCTGAACTCCCATTGTGGCCTCTGCCCGCGTCCGGCTGCGAATGGCCGCCTCCCTCTCCAGCTGCTGCATCGCCGTGTGAACCAAACACCTCGAGTTTCGCCCTTACATCGCACCATACAACACCTCATAGCACCGCGTAGTACCTTCTGCTGGACTCCCATGGTGGCCTCTGCCCGCGTGCGGCTCCTAATGGCAGCCTCCCTCTCCAGCTGCTGCATCGCCGTGTGAACCGCAGCCAGCCGCGCTGACAGGCGCCGCCTCTCTCCCTCCAGGCGGTCAGATTTCTCCCGAAGGCGAGAGACCTAAGGGGACGGAGGGGGAATGAAAGGAGAGGGAGAGGGGAGGCGGGAGAGGGGAGGGGTGGAATGTGAACCGCCGCCAGCCGCGTTGAGAGCCGCTGCCCATCCCCCACCCACCTTCCCCCCCGACTACCACTTCAAGCCGAATTAAACGCAAGCACCACCGCTTCAGGGCGAAAGTAAGCCTCGCGCAGTCGCACACCTAGCAAACGTGATCGCAATCTGCGACAAATTCTGAGACAGACGAGTCGAATGCACGCACCTCCGCTTCAAGTCGCACGTTGGCCTCCCTCAGCCGAACCAGCTCCACCTGCAGGCCGGGGAGAAACAAGCAAAGAGAACAACAGACATTACGCATTCCTAAATGAGAAGGAAAGGACGAGGAGAGGGAGAGAGAGAGAGAGGAAAAGCACCACGCAATATCAAATGAGAGGGTGAGGGTGGGGAGACAGGGTGGAGGTGGAAGGCGAGGATGAAATCGGGGAAGAGAAGGGAAGGGGAAGAGTTGGCGGAGAGGGAGCAACTGACAAGGTTAGCGAAGTCGTCTGTAACGCGTCGATCCTTTCGCTTGCTGCGAATCATCGCCGTCAGATCATCCCTGGTTTCCAGTAGCGGACTATCCTTCCCACACCGCCCCGTCCCGTGCTTCGATCCCTCGCCCTTCCCACCGCCAGTTACTATATCCTCTCCTCGACCCCCTACCCTGGGACTCCCATCTAGGCTCTCCCCTTGTCTCTCTCCATGGCTGCTTCTTTGCGTTGCCGTTGCTGTTTGCACGTGCGCTAGCAAATCTGCGGATCCAACCCGATTCTGGAACATTCGTTTCGGGCTGCCCGCTGTTGCCGAGCCCGGCCGTCGTGTCTGAAGGTTTTTCTTTGGGCTGCCCGCGGTCGAGTGGGAGAGAGATCCGGCAGACGTGGAGGGAGAGATGGCCACGTCACTCCGCTGCGACATTAGTGGCGTGATTCGCGGACGAGAGTGCACAGCATACGTCCCCGATATAAGCATGTCATGTACAGAAGCATCTCCGCGAGATTCTAACGCGGATGCTCCGAGGCTTAGCCTCTTAGCTCTTGCTAAAAGTTCCAGGTCCGTACTAAGTGACAATTCATTTCCTCCTCCCCAACTTAATCTTCCGCCAGCCGAACCGCCTCCGTCTAAACCAACCGTTGCAGCTACTGGAATCTGACATTTTCCGTCAGAGCTCCGGCAAGTGCGGGGTCCCGGACTGCTGCAGACAGATCCGTCACCGTCACCGTCAACGTCAACTTGTAAGGCGGTCTGACTTTCATGGCCCTCGATGCTCGTTTGGCTCGCGGCCTTATTATTCGGATGTTTCACATTTGAAGGGAATTCAAACTCCCGTTGTCTATCGGCCGCGATTTCCGCAAGGGAGGAGGTGAGATGCTCAATCTGCTTCGTCGCTGGAGCCATGGTCAGCAAAACCATAGGGCCATGATTGGATGAATTTATATATGTTTTCTCAGCCGACTTTGCAGTCACGATACGATCTCCAGTCGAGTGTACACACTTCGTTTCATTTGCTCAGTTAAACGCTTCGACAAAAGCCTGGATTATGCAAGGTCGTATTGCACACTCAAGAATTCCCTACAGTTCCTATCAAGCCTGGTGCTCCGAAACTACAATTCCGGCCATTGTGGAGGTCGGGCGCACGACGTGGTTGCTTCTGGATGGGTCATGGCTGGTGAGGGAATAGTCTTTAGCAAAGCGAGCGGTAAAGGCTACCAGTCTCATGAGAGGGAGAGAAGCTGCCTCTCTTGGCCAGTCAGGTTATGGCGGTTACTATGCTATCGGCTTTGCTTGAGTTTGGTTGTAGCCAGACAAGCTTGCGCACTTCACTGCAGTGGCATTTGGTGGGTTTTTGTGCGTGGCAGCGCGGTTTGTCTACGTTATCAAATGGTTGAATAGGGATTTCCGCAAAGGTTATTTGTGACAGGCGGTTCCCCAAGCCAGGCTGCTTGGTGGGCAGCGTGGAGGTTTACGGTGGATGGTGCTTTTGGATGTGATGTGAGCCGTAGATTCAGCACCTCACCAAACTACCAGTACGAGGCCGCGTTCGTGTTCCATTTCACTCCCCGTGTGTCTCAATTTGTAACAACCGATTTGTGACGGATACAGATCAGGCCGTACCTCGCAGCCTGACCAGAAACGGCCCGACCCGAGCTTTTTGCATTCGAACATGACCTGACCATGACAGGCCATGCGCATCTCCGTGACCTGCAGATCGTATGCGCGAAACCCGCAGATTCAGGAGTGAAAATACCTCGTTGTCACCACATTTCCAATATGGCGGGACGAAAGGAGCGATTCGTCAGTCTCCGTCTAAGGAAGACCCATTGACCATTTCAATAACCGCTCTCTCAATAAAGATCTGCAACTAATCTTTATGCGAATGTTGAGCAAATCATCTTTCATTCGAGCATCAAATGGCGGTAGTGTCGACCACGGCATGTTCTCATCCAATAATATTTGGCAGTTTGAAGGGAACCAAGTTGAAGCCGTTCGCTTACGAGCCTGCGAGGCACAACAACTATGTGAGGCGAGAAACAAATATTTACATGCCCATGACAAACAGAGTACGGTAAAGACCACCAATGCATCTTCTTGAAAGACTCACCAGCGAGTAAGACATCGTTGAAAAGCAACCGATGTTGGTCGGACGTACATGGGATCCCGTTGCTGGTACAACAACCCGACCTAATGAAGAACCCACATAGAAAAGACATCAGTAAGTACGGAGCAAACGAGCCAAAACACAGTACAGAATGGGCAAAAAATGCATGGAACTTGACGCTAACATTGCAAAACATGGCCAAGGTGGAAAAAGGCCGGAAAGAGGAAACTCGTTAACTCCCTTAGCTGAATGAAAAACATGTGAAGGCAGCCGAGTCACAAGTAGCTATTCCTCACCTTGAACAACGCAGCAGCTGCTGGATCTTCCATAAACTCTTCCCCTGAATCTTTGCCATAGTTCACCTGCACAGTGGAAGCACATGATAAGTCGAATATAGAGTCAACTCAAAAGCAGCTGGATCTTCCATGAACTCTTCCCCTGAGTCTTTGCCATAGTTCACCTGCAAAACGGAAGCACACCTCGAAACAACTGTGCTTTCAACTTCTTACATAAATTTATCCAATTTCTCACCCTAAGTTCCAGCTCGCAAAGGCCCTTACAGGAGCAAAAACAGCACATCTTGCTCTCAGCTTGTAAGGGGTATGTCAAACTCAACAGCAAATTCCAAACAATGCAGCAGCAGCAACAGCACAGACAGCAGAAAACGGCACTTGAAGCGCTTCAGAGGCAGCAACAGCTTACCCCAAACTCCGCAGTCGCCAGTGCATGGACAAAATCCATCATCTGAAACCGCGCCCACTCCCTCAGCTGCCGTTGATACTCCCCCTTCTCCTCCTCCTCCTCCACCCACCTCTCCTCCTCTTCCTCCTCTTTCTCGCTCCCCATAGGACCCCCTTCCGACCCTTCACCTCGCATGGTACACCTCAATTCCGCCCCCCCTTGCAAGTCTTCTTGTGATACTTCTCGCCTCCCATTCACGTCCCCTCGATCAACCCCGTAACCAACCTCTGGTCTCCATTTCACTCTATCTTTTCCTGTTCTCCTCTCCTTCCACTCCACCCACCGCCTGCTCCACATTCCCGGGGCATTTGCCCAGGGGCTGCCGAACCTAGCCGCCCACCGAGGCTGTTCTCCCGAAGCTAGCTGCTCCCCGAACCTCTCGAGGTGGGTGAGTGCTGCCTGCATGGCTGGTTCCACCTCCGTTGCCTGTGGAGGAGAGGAAGGGGAGAAAAGACGAGAGGAAGAGACGAGTGTGAGAGGGAGGAAGAAGTGAGAGAGAGAGGGGAGGAGGTGAGAGACTGGAAAAAGGTGGGCGAGAGGAAGAGGTGGGTGAGAGCTGCTTGCATGGCTGGCTCAACTTCCGCTGCCTGTGCGGCAGACAGACAGGAGGACAGACAGGAGAAGGAACATAAGGCAGCTTTGAAAGAGAGGTAGGAAGAGGTGGGAGACTAGAATAGGTGAGCGAGAAGAAGAGGTGGGTGAGTGCTGCCTGAATGGCTGGCTCAACTTCTGCTGCCGGTGCAGCCGAGAAAGGAGAACAGACAGGAGAAAGGACGAGCAGCGAGATGAGAGAGAGCAACAAACTCAATCTCAATGCCAACAAAAAGTTTTTTCCTCCCCAATATCCCCAACTCTGTCTCGCTTCTCTCATCACACATACATGCAGGTATGCAAGGTAGTGGACAACATAGCTATCCACTCTCAAACTCACTGTTAGTGCATCCATCCACATACCGATACAACCACCCACATACCCACGCACCCACACACCAAAACATACATGCAGGTACGCAAGGTAGTGGTCAACACAGCTATCCACTCGCTCAAAGTCACTGTTAGAGCATACACCCACACCACATACCGATACAACCATACCCATGCACCCACACACCAAAACATACATGCAGGTATGCAAGGTAGTGGTCAACACAGCTATCCACTCGCTCAAACTCGTCCTCCTCTTCCCGCCAGCCAGCCCACAGAGAATGAAACTCCGCCAGGTGGCGCGGGTTGGAGCCAATTGCAGCTTCCACCACCCTCCACTGCACCCAATGGGCCAGGCGGGGGAGAAGCGAAATGAAAAGAACAGAAAGGAAAGGATGACATAAGAAGGGGGGCGGGGGTGCTTTCGTTGTGAAAGGGAGTACTTTCGTGGTAGAAGGGGGTATTTCTGTCGTGGAAGCGCATACATGAGATGACATACGAACAATGGTGAGAAGGCACGCCCAAGGCAGATGGATCAGAGACATGCCTACCGTGTGATTTTTGAGAATTCTCAAAAATCACAGATGGATCAGAGACATGCCTACTGCCTGCTTACATGGAGGCAATACATGAGTGTTTCGAGTTGAATTTTGAGGCGCCTCAAAAGTTTTGAGGCGCCTCAAATGCCTGCTTACATGGAGGCAATACATGAGTGTTTCGAGTTGAAAGGAAGGGCCGACCACCCACCTGAAAGGGATTTTATGAGTCAACTCACAATAAGAGCTGGAGCAACAACCACCTACCTGGAGTGGGGTAAAGGTGGAGGGAACCAGGTGCACGGAAGCTTCCTCGGGAAGCCAACGTGCTGTGAGAATGACGGGTGGATGCTTATGAGACTTCTCACCAGTAGGGAGGACATGCCTACCACGTACCTGGAGTGGGGTGAAGGTGGAGGGAACCAGGTGCACGGAAGCTTCCTCGGGAAGCCAACCAAAGAGCTGTGTCAAACGAGGCATGTGGATACGGGATGGAAGGTTCGGGGGACGAGGGTGGGAAGAGTATTTAGAAATGTTGAAATGCATGGAGAGTTGGGGACGAAGGGCCTTCAGGGGTGGGAAAATCAAGATCAACGGTTTAGATACAGCAGAGCTGTAGGACCGAAAGCAGCAGCGGGAGAAGAAAGGGGAGAGGCAGGAGGAGCGGAAGGGGAGCAGCAGCAAAAGCAGGGAAGTGGAGAATAGGGAGAATGGGGACGCATGCATACACACTTACCTCGTGTGGGTGGAAAAGAGCCTGCGTGCCAAAATCAGCAGACAGCTGATCGGAGTAATAGCTGCGCCACGCACACAAGACAGCAGAGAAACAGACAACCGAGCGTCAGACAGCGGGGTAAAGGTTGAAAAGGAGAAAAAACATTTAGTAACTGCACTGACTTTTTAGGTGTTGAAAAAAATAAGTAAATTGGTAACAGCGCTGTGGATCAAAGTAAAAGCCTCCTCTCATGCATGCATACTCTCCAACTCTTATGAACCAACCCAAGTCACACACCTGACCCGTCGGAGGAGCAGAGCAGCACCCCGGTTGCAGCATCCCTGCCTCTTGTCGTGGCCTCAAGCAGGCAGAGGAAGAACAGCACATGGCTGGTGAACCCATGAGTGCCATACATACATTCCCCCTATCTCTCGTGCATCCACCTCAGTTTCTTAGAGCGCACCTGTCGGACGAGCAGAGCAGTATCCTGGGTGCGGCATCCCTCCCTCTTGCAGTGGCCTCCAGCAGACGCATCAGCAAGGCGTCGTGGAAATCCGCCCCCTCACACAGGCTTGCTGGTGCTGCTGGTGGTGGTGATGGTGGTGGTGATGGTGGTGGTGATGGTGGTGGTGGTGGTGGTGATGCTGGTGCTGATACTGGTGATGTAGGTGCTGTTGTTGATGATGTTGTTGGTGATGTTGTTGGCGATGTCGCGGGTACGACATGGCTGGATTGTGCGTGGCGTAGCACATGGAATCCGTTGATGGCTAGGATAGGCTGTGAGGGGTGCACGTTGGGCACATGAGCACATGAGCACATGAGCAGCATATCAGCACATCAACACATCAGCATATCATACGCATCAGCATATCATGCGCAAATCTTGCCGTTGCAGCACATGGCATATGCATGACTCGTGACAAGCACAACGGGAACAAGCATAACTCGAGTCGAGTCTGCATCAGCCGCCTATGCAACCCCACTCCATCTCACTCTGCTGCTCGAACTCACCTGAAAGGGTTTATGCCGCCGTCTAAGCTTGCTGCCCTTCCTTGTGCCTCCCGCCACAACAAGCGAATCAATCAGCAGCCCAGTCCACGCAACAGCCGCCTCAGCATCCCCTCTCCATCCCACTCTGCTGCTCACACACGCTCACCTCAAACGGTTTTTGTCGCCATCTCAGTTTGCTGCTCTTCCTTGTACCTCCCGCCACAACAAGCAAATCAATCAGCAACCCACTCCATGCAACAGCCGCCTCTGCATCCCCTCTCCTGCGCCTGAACCTGCCTTCCAGGCCCGGCCTGGACCTCCCCTGCCCGAGGCTGCCACCCAGGTTCGGCCCCGACCTCCACCGCCGAACCTCCTGTATCCGAAGCAGCTGCTTGGCGAGGCACATGCTGACGATTGTTGATGAGGCAGGTTCGGAAAGAGAAGCTCTGTTTTCACTTTGTTGATTTGACTCTCCTCTTGATTCTCTTAGTGTATTTTCAACCGATTCCTGTGCCCACGCCTTTACTAGCAAGTGATCTTCGTTATAGCCGCATCCCGCATTATAACACGCTCCAGACACAGGTTGCGAATGCGCCTGCTGCTGCTGCTGCTGCTGCTGCTTCTTCTGCGCTTGTTGCTCCTGCAACCTCCTCTGCACCAATCTCAATGACTCCTCCCAAAGCTCCTCCACCCGCTTTCCCTCACACCTCCCCTTTTCCTCCCCCTCCTCCCCATTCCTCCCCCCCAATCCCCCACTTTCCCCTGACACTAGGGTCTCTAGTGCGGTTACCACATGCACACGCCGCTGCAGGGCTTGCAGCAGGTCGTGTGACTGTAGGCGCCGCTCTTTAATAGCACGCAGCACCAGGGTTTCAAGAGCTGACTCGATGTCCGAGCGAAGGGAAGACAGCTGCGGTTGGGGAGGGGTTGTGACTGTATCGAGGGGTGTCACTGTATCGAGGGTTGGGGCTGTCTCGAGGGGTGTGACTGTAGAGGGATTTGTGGGTGTGGTTAAGGTGGCAGGAGGAAGCATCCAGGAAGGAAGTCGTGGAGATTCCAAAGTTTGTGCACTAGGAGCCGACGAGGCTTCGCACGAGGTTCGGTGGGAGGTTTGGTGAGGAGTTTGCTGAGACGTTTGGTCTGAGATGGGCAAATGCGGTGGCGTATGGTGCTGTGGTGTGCAGTGCGGTGAGGAGTCAAGCGTTGAAGTGGGAATGAGATGCCTTTCTAGGTCGACGTACGACACTGGAGCACCACTCTTAACCCATCCATCAACCAAATCTGCACAGAGCAAACAAACGTGACAAGAACCCGATGAGAAACTAACACAAATTGTGGTGGGTGAAGATTAAAAGATGTGATTGGAATGGTGACAGTGGTGGGTGTTTTACTGCTGGAATGGCAGCAGGTGGCTATCAGGTGGCTAATCAGGTGGGTGTTTTACCGCTGAAGTGAAACAGCTGACAGCTCTGAAGCAGCTGAATCGTGTGGATCGGATGAATCCTCTGAATTAGCATTAATGCTATGCAGACCTACCTTACAGCACGCCTCTCCACCAGTGCAGCACTACAATCGCCTGAAACACCTGACTCGCCTGATACCATACAATTAAACTCTCTGAACCGTTGTTGAGCGGACTCAAAAACACCAGCGCAGCATTACAATCGCCTGAAACCCCTGACTCGCCTGATATAAAACCACTCAACTTTCTGAACCATTGTTGAGACGACTCAAAAACTCCAGTGCTGATTCATGATTGGCTGAAACACCTGACTCGCCTGATACGGCTCAACTGCCTGATTGGTCTGAATCATCCGAATCAGCTGAATGCCCTGAATCTCCTGAATCATAAGAACACTTTTCCTAGGCAGACCTACCTTCCACCAGGCTTCGCTTCCCCACGCCTCTCGGACCGTGTACCACCACGATCCTCCGCGGAAGCCCCTTTCCAGATAAGCGCACGCCCACCTCCAGCGCGGGTCCCCCCAGCAGCTTCCCCCACCCGATCTCCCCCTCCGCCACTCCCCCG